GGGTTGCGATCCGTTGCCGGACACGGAAAAAGACAAAAAAAAAAAAGAAAAGAAAAGAAAAGGACATCTATTTGAAAATAAAGGCCAAGGAGATTCTTTGCTAAATATGTTTTAAACACCAAACCACCCATATAAGCTTTTAGAAAACAATCCACCAGTTAATTCACATACTCCCTGCACAGTTATGAGGAAGTTCAATACAATTCCCTACCTATATCAATTAACTATTGGCTTTCGTTGGGTATTACTGGTTTTTCTCCAATATCTGAGATGGAGAAAAGCAGCTCCTGACAACCAGGAACTGGTCTGATAATTAAGGATAGGCCTTAGTATTGCTAGAAGCTGGCCTGGCATTCACAGGTAGGCTGCAGTGTTCTCCTGTTCAACATAAATATTTCCAAAGAACACCAACATCAGACAAGACCACTCTGTGACAACAGATCAAGACAAAAACAAGACCACTCCATAATCATGTCAAAACAGACAAAAACAAGAACACTGACCAAACTCAAAAATGACCAAACACCCCCCTAATACTGGCTAATATGAATGACTGCTACTGCTTTACCAATTGCAGCTTTAGCTTCAATTCATTCCTCTCACCTTCTAGATAAAATTTAGTAAAATATACAATCATAGATCACCCCCACTTCCTGACAGCATCCAATCCACAGCAAAGTCCTATTTCCTTGAACCTTATTCAAAATCACCTAACACAAGCCCAAATCCTACAAAAAAAAATCCTTTCTAACATACTCTTACTGAAACACTCTATTGTTCCCCATGGAATTCATTCTCTCTTACTGCAGTAAGTCAATAAACTCAACTTTGTTCAACTGCTGGTGTGTTCCTGATGGTCTTTGTCTATAGCACATTGATATATTATACCAGAACTTTTAAGAACCCTGCATTTATATTCCTAGAATGGCCTATAATCTGCTATTATCTACTTAGTGAGTTTAGGAGTACCATGCTTCAAATTATACCTAATTAAAAGTTTTAAATTCCCTATTCCATAATTATGTACTTTTATTAGTGTAAATAAAACTTTAGGACATCAATGAAATATTTCAAGCACACAAAAAAATAAACCTATTAAACACTCATCTTTTTTAAATCTTAACATTTTTCCATCTTTGTTCCTGTTTATTAAGAAAAAAAATAATACAGATGTAATTAAATCACCTGGGCTACCTCGCCTCTACCATTCCCCTACTTCATGATTTTAAATAGTTCTATATTTTTTCCATAATAATCGCACCTTGTTAAATTTATCCCAAGCATCTTTTGCTGTATACAATTATAATTGATACTTTAGTTACCTTTTATAATCCTTTTATATTAGGACATATAACTGTGGTATGTGATAGAGGCCCCATCTAAGGTTGAAGAATTCCCTTTATTCCTAGTTTGCTACGACTCTTTAAAATGATTGGAATATGAATGCTTTTTCTTTATCTACAGAGAAAGTGGTTCAGTTTTTCTCCTTTAACCTATTATATGGAAAGTAATGATAGCAGATTTTCTCACTTAAACCAATCTTATATTCCCTGGTTGAGCAATCTTCGTAACAGTGTGTTTTAATATTCACTATACATCTGTTAATATTATTTAGTATTTTGTATCTATGTTCATAAAGTGACACCGGTCTGTATTTTCTTTGGCTAGTTTTCACGTTACAGTTATATTAACTGCATAAAATGAGTTAATATATGTTCCCTCTTTGCCTATTCTCTAGAATAGTTTATATAATTTGAGATTATCTGTTCCTTAAGAATTTGATAGAATAATTGGTTCAATATCTTCAATGTTAGTTGGGGCAATTAAATATTCTACTTCTTAAAATACTTAGTATATTAAATTTATCTAGAAAACTGTCCACCTCATCTGAGTTTTCAAATTTAAATACAGTTATTTGCAGTATTCACAATATAAAATTTTAATGTTTCTAGGGCCAGCCCGTGGCTCACTTGGAAGAGTGTGGTACTGATAACACCAAGGCCATGGGTACGAATCCCTATATAGGGATGGCTGGTTAGCTCACATGGGAGACTGTGGTTCTGATAACACCAAATCAAGGGTTAAGATCCCATTACCGGTCAAAAAAAAAATTTTGTAAAGTTTCTACTATATTTGTAGTTATGGCCATCTTCATTCCTAATATTGCTTATTCACGCCTTCTTTTTTCTTAACTAATCTTCATAGAGGTTTGCCAATGTGTCTTTTCAAAACTGTTGATCCTGTCAACTCCCTGACTTCTAGTTCATTTCTGCTCTTTATCACTTCCTTCCAAGTTATTTGAGCTTACTTTGTCCTTTTTGTAACTTTTTGAACTGAACACTTACCTCATAAATTTCCAGTCCAGTTTACTAACATATGTTTAAGGCTATAAATATCCCAAGTATAGGTTATGTTTTTTATCCAATGGTTTCTAATGAGACCAGAGAATATGATCTCTAGGATATCTCTTCTCCGTTATTTTTTGAGATTTGCTGGGAGACCTGGTATACGATCAACTTTTATAAATGTCCCACTTATACTTGGGGGAAAAAAAACTGTATCTCTTCTTCATTGCTAGATGTACAAGATGAAGTCTGTAATGCGATTTGTTCAAATCTTCTCTATCCTATTAATTTTGAGCCTGTTGATTTATCAGTTTCCGAGAAAGAGTAGTAAAAGTTCTATGATTGTGAATTTGTTGATTTCTCCTTATTCTGTCAATTTTTCCTTAGAGAATAATCTAAAGCTATCATGCAAACAGATTCAGATTGTTATATAGTCTGAGTAAATTATTCTTTTTATTCTTATAAAATGACTATTACTAATCAAGTTTTTCCATGAGTCTATTTTGTTAATACTAACAAACAGCTTTCTTTGCATGTATCTACTGTATCTTTTTCTAGCCCTTTCTTTTGAAACTTTGTGTAATAATCATTTATCATGTCTCAGAAGCAGTATGTAGCTAAAGTTAATTTTTAACTCTGATAAGACATTCTGTCTTTTAACTGCTAGTCATTTTATGTGTACTGTGATTAGTATTTTGTGCTATTTATCAAGTTTCTCCCTCCTTCTTTTCCTCCTTCCCCACTCTCTAGTGAACTGAGTAGGTATCTGTTTCTTTTTTCCTCCTTCTACTAGCTATTTCTTTTTTTTAGGGTTGAACTATTTATTTTTTTTATTTTTTATTTTTTAACTTTTTATTGAATCAAAATTTATACATATTTTGAGGGTTCAACATTTAGATGTTGATCAAATCAATAGTACTAGCATATATATTGTTACAGATCATATTTATTCTTTATGCCCCTTGCCCAATCTCACCCTATCCCCACCCCCACCCCCATTACCCTAGATTTCTTCTCTCCTTCTGAAAGAATAATGGTTACTCTGCTGATTTGTTGCCTAGATAATCTGTCCAATGCTTAGAGGTGGGTTCAGGTCCCCCAATATTATCATAGAGCAGATGCTTCTTCTGTCACTCTGGAATGGGCTTTGTGCAGAGAGACATCCTCTTCTTTATCTCTGATGGTGACCCTTCTTGTGTCAATGCAATCCAGTGGCTGGCAGACCAACTGCATGGTGGTTGTGGCGTCTAGCTACTTTTGCAGCAGCCATGGTTATTGGGGTGGGCCACCCACACAGAGGTGTTTTTGGCATGCTCCTTGGTGCTGGTGGTGTGCCTGGTTGTGGGGGGATCCAGTCTCTGGCTCCATCCCTCAGGTCCCCAGGTGGGCCCCAAGGTGCTGGCACAGTGTATTAGTCCATTTGTGTTCCTTATAACAGAATACTTGGAACTGGGTTATTTATAAAGAAAATGAAATTTATTGCTTACAGTTTCTGAGG